CGTCAGCTGTTGTTAATTGGTCGGCCATCTTGGAGCATGGCTGCAGACTGTGAGACCCCTACAGGCTGAGCCTTATAGATCAGATGAAGAGCTCTGTCATTTGAGGGGAAGTCCGTGTACAGAAAATGCTCCTTTGCAACAAAAGGAATCAGTTGTGGTGTTTTAGCATCTTCATATCATACCTTTTTGGGTGACTCCCTTTGGACGTTTTTTTTTTTTTTTTAAACACAGGGAAAAGATCCAAGTACCATCTCTGGCCTGGCATTGTCCGATGTAACTATTGTCTGTGTTTCCCTCCTGTACTGTTGCCTCAACAATCAGACCAAAAATAAACAAAAGATGCAGAAAAACAATTTATAGATTCATGGTTCATCTAACCCTCCACTATACACTGAAATCTGTAGAAGGCCAATAGGTGCTAGAATCTATTCAAGTCACTAATATACTGTATGTCTATTACCGGTAAGTGATTTTTCTGTCAACAGCTATTTAGTTCAAGTTCAAGTTTATTGTCTTTCGCATCATATGTGGTACATGAGGTGGAGCAAAATGATGTACGTAGGGTCCCAGTTGCACCCAAAAATGACAAAATTACAAAGTATAAAAAGAAACAGCTTATAAGGATGCAAGGTATACACTAAAATATACAGTAAATGAATGCCAAACGATACATTAAAATATCTGAGATATATGCTAAACACCAATAATGTAAAACAATACAGCGTATCAACATCAGCACGAGCAGCAGCCAGTCTAACACCAAACAAGCTCATACGTTTTTGAAAGTAAAGCCGTTCTAAGTTGGCCATGCATATGGCAGTGTCTGTGCAGAATGTTTTCATGGACGAGTTTACAACAAGCTACCAAACGGTAAAAACATCCCTCTCTAAAAATCTTGTGAAGACATATTTCCAGGAGCACCTCCTCTTACAACACCTCCAAGAGGCTAACACATATCTCTGGCACGCTCACCATTTGTGCTGATTGCTTTAAATACATTTTGTATTTTATGCTTTTAGCACGAATTCTCACTGTGCCAATGTCTGATAATTGTTTTTATTTGTGAGTTGTTTTGAATGCAATCATTTGCTAAATGACTAAATATTAATTCTCTCCACGTTTGACAACAGTTTCCAAGGCCTGAATGAATGACACAATGATTTTATTTATTGCAAAAGTTCTAACAGTAAAAATATAAAAATATTTAAAACGTCTTGTAACATAAAACCATGGGAGGACATTTCATACTGAATACATAGCATCTTTAATATTTTTATACTACCTATCTTTCTTATACAAAGAAAACTGCAAGCCCAGTTTTAATGTACTGATCTCAGTAGCTGGGTAAAGGTCTTGGTTTGATCAGGTGGTCTGCAGGGTGAAATGTCAACTCAGTGCTATTGTATGAAAAGACAACAAATAACACGAGAGAAGTGGAACTAAACTCAGGAGACTCCAAATTAATTGATTTCAATTGTTTGCTTTATGAAAAGAGAACAAAAGGGCAAATGAGTCAGACAACTTGTAGCACTTTAGTTTATTTATTTAGAAATAAAAAACCTGAAAGACAGCAACCAAATTCTGCAGCCTGTAAATTTTACAACCTGGTCATTTAATATTCCCTGTCTTCTCTTTCAGCTCATCTGTATCAAATATTGTTTCATTTTCTTCAACCCCCCCCCCCCCCCCCCCCACACACACACACACACATAGTCTGTGCGAGTGGTGGCACAGAGGCTAGAGAAGGTGGGCCTGTGATCAAAAGATCGCAGGTTCAACTCCTGGTACCGACAACATCAAAATGTGGGTGGGATTGGTGAAGCACCCACACCTGCCGCCACCCTCCTTTGCTCCACCCTAGGCCCTTGAGCAAGGCCCTTAACCTCCACCACCTGCTCCCCTTGGTGCCCTAGATAGCAGCACTCTGCTCCACACATGTTGCTGCTGATCTGTTTCATGTTGCTGCTGATCTGTTTTGTATTGCTGCTTATCTGTTTCATGTTGCTGCTTATCTGTTTCATGTTGCTGCTTATCTATTAGATGTTGCTGCTGATCTGTTTCATGTTGCTGCTGATCTGTTTCATGTTGCTGTTTATCTGTTGCATGCTGCTGTTGATCTGTTTCATGTTGCTGCTTATCTGTTGCATGTTGCTGCTGATC